TGCTTTGTAGCAGTCACAGAGGATAGTGTTTAATATCCTCACGATATCATTTTGGGTAAGAAATTTTCTGAAGTGTTGTTCTGAAAATTCTGGATTTACATTTAGCCGATCTAAGTTGCCTGAAACTCATTCAAACAGAATTGAAAATGTATTAATTTTTGAGATTACTATTTAGCCACAGCCGCAGATCTTCCGGGAAACAGTTTGATTTTCAGGCATATTAGGTGATTTCAATTATGAAGGGGACATACGGTAAGCGTTGCCATCTATTTGCAGGTGTGCCGTCGATCCTGTAATTCTCGGTGACATAACGTACACTGTGACCGGTCCAGCGAAAGCATACGTCAACGGTTTCGTTTTCAAATACGCCGACAAGCCATCGGTGTTCTACCAGTGTACAGTACAGTTATGCAACAAGGGAGACGAGTATTGCGAATCTCTCACGGTAGTCTGCTGTCAGAATCTCAGTCGGCAAAGCAGGTCTTGTATTCTATATCTGTTACAGCCACCATCATGTGGTCTAATGGCTACAACGCCGTCTACGTTTTCCTGGCCGATTAGGCGAACACAACTGACTAAGAAGCGTCAGCAAAGAAGCAGGCGTCTGGCGCGGATGAACGATACCACAGGATCAGCCGCCGGAAAATATAGCCAAGAAATCGACCTTTTCACGCAAACCATGACCGTGTTGGACTTGGACGATTTCGAGTCAAGTAATGATATGGAATCACTTCGTCGAATGTCGCAAAATTACCCAAGTAAGGTCTATGAAACCGTATGTGAATGCCATAAAGATCTTTTCACTTTAATCTAGGGTGTGGTTTGTGTTTGTTTAGATCATTATCTTGAAGTGTTTGCACCAGTAGAATGTCTCTAGTTTTTATATTTGATGTATTAGTAATTTTTCACATTTCTGTCATAAGGCAATGATTATAACATCGTAGAAGGACGAAATCAGATCTGCTTCTACTTTGTTCCTCCATGCTTGCAAGCTGACCTCCCGGTCGGCATTTGCAGTGTCTCGGCTCCCACAGGAGACGTTCATGTGTGGTAGTAAATGGCGTATG